GAAACTTATTGCGAGGTATTGTTAGTCTTGTTCACTATTTTGAAAATTGCACTTATAAAGGTCTATTCACATATACAGCCACCGCGCGTGGCAGACACGAGTAGTATAAAAAGGAGAGTTCTAACTCAGGAGCAAGTGCAAGTACCAAGTGCCAAGTGCCGGTGCCAGGATCAAGTGCCAAGTGCTATACCTAATACATAGCCACCCGAATCGTCCATCTCTTCACCTACTTTTCCCCCACTTTTTTTTTTTTAAAACATTTTCTACGTACCAATTTGTCTTTCTTATCACTGAGCGACACTACACACACACTCACACACATCTACCTAACCACATACATACTATTATCATGTACATACATAAACATATACATTAGGGTGGTCCTTATTATTTGTTTTTAAAATTTGATCGAGCTACCCATAGAATTTGTTTGAGACCATAAAAAAATGAATTGTGTAAAGTTTCGTAGTAATTGTTCAATTCTAAGGCGTGCCTCAAAAGGGTTGAAGTTCAATGGAGGGTGATTTTTCGATTTTTATAATTTTAGTCTAAAATAATTAAGATAGGCAAAAAAGTATAGAACTAAAATATTTTTTAAATTAAATATGTCATATACAATGTTACTTGTACTTTTTTATTCATACTCCCTCCCCCAAAGTTTTTAGTATTAAATAACTAATAAATATAATATGCCGTATTGCATGCCTATATGCCTATATTTTATATATTTTGTTATACATATGTAATTCAAATTAAACACAAATAATATTTAAATAATAATATACATAAATGACATAATTAAATATTTAAATATTTTTTAAATATTTTTAAATATTTATTTTAAAAAATGATTAAATAATACTACTGTATTATTTAATCATTTTTTCGTTTATTTTTTTTGTAAAATTTTTGTAATATTTTTTTTTTTATATTTTTTTTCATGTATGGTCGGAATTAAAAATTGTTTTTGATCTTCGTTTTTAGTGATTAAATTATTGTAATCACTCATTAATTTCACTCCTCGTTCTGCTGCGTCATTAACAACTTTTGCTAGACCGTTTAAAAATGAAAATGAGTTTGTATAATGTTTTGACGAACTATTCGACATTGCCCATGCAGATTTGCTAGACCGTTAGCATTCCATAATAGGATGACTAAAGATTGTGAGGTAAAAGGACTATTTGACATTTTGGGTAAGTAGGCGATCGAGAACAGTGGTGAGGAGAGATAAAAGTGGATTTATCAAAGCTTTAAATTCGTTAATAAAATTGGTTAGAGGGGAGAGATCGCTAGATTGGGTCGTAGGAGGTGATTGCGAATTTTGGCTGCTTGTGGCTTGGGCGTAAGAACGAGAGGATAGTGAGTGATTAACTGCGGCCGTTGGTAGTTGGGTGATTTTACAATTTGTGTTACTTAATTTATTTATATAATGAGAATTAGCCGAGTGAGTACCTTGCCTTTTTGAGAATGATTGGATTTGGTGGATTTGCTTGTAGATCTGGCAACCTTTGTAGTTGGCCGGATGGTCGCCTTTGCACAGAGCACATGTGGCGGGTGTGTCTCTAGTCTTCCCGCAGCTAGATGATGGATGGTGTTCCCCACAGCGTACGCATCTCGGAGGATAGGCACAATATTTCCTAGAGTGGCCATACTCTTGGCAGTTGAGACACTGCACAATGTCTTTCCTTTTGTG